CTGGAGTGTACGTTCACAGGCAAACAAAGGCAAAAGGAAACGGAGGGCTAAAGGGATGTGCAAGGTAGAGGTGTTGGCATTTATTGGCAGGGCATGCTTCCATATGCAGAAGGGCTGCTCCAATGTTCCCGCGGTACCTACTCCGCCAATGCGCTCCACAGGCCCTCTTTAACATCAATGAATCAACGCATATGATTTGCGGGGCGAAATCCCATATAAATGAATGGTAACAGCCGTCATGATCTCAACAAATATAGCTTCTAATTGCAGCACGATTGCCTATACTGTTCCTATGGGTGCGCCAACTCCAGTTCTTTTCTTAGCTCATACATCCTGATGGACAACGTCTCCTTTCATTGATCGGATGGTGAGAAGAATGTGATTGACGGCCATGGGCATCAACGCCTTCTCCTACCTCTCAGCTCTCCCTATCTCCTTATCTAACGTGAATCTGGGATAGTGTATTAATGTCCGACCCAGTATTGGACCCTATGAAAGGTTTCCTGTTGAGAACGTGGCAATGATCGGTCCTTCGTTTCCAGTCTATTGCCAGATGCAAATAAAATACACCTCAATATTCTAAGAAGAGAAATACATCGGTAATTACCAGGGACATCAGCGCCCTCGACTCCTCTCTGAATACCCCAAGCATCGATATCTGACTCAAGTGACTAGCACTGTAGGACGAATATACGAGGGTTGACTGAAAAGTAATACCTCTACTTACATAATTTTTCAACAGATAGCGCTAGTAGCGTGAAACAAGTTTTGCCACGTTCTGTGGCTCTTGTCTGGAGCCTCAGTCATTGGCAAGTCGTTACAGGGAACGGTTGCTTTTTCGCTGCAGTTGAAATGGAGGCTTCCCATGACCCGTCAAACTCGTCATAGCAATTTAAGCAACGTGTTGCAATCGAATTTTTCATCACGGAAGGAGTGGCTCCGACTGATATTCATCGACGAATGCAGTTTGTTTTATGGTGATGAATGAGTTGAAGAAAGCACTGTGCGTCGTTGGGTCAAAAAGTGTAAAGATGGTGAACCAGGAGAAGCGGATTTTTGTGATCAACAGCGAAGTGGGAGACCTGTGACGGCAAGCGTCAAACCTCGCAAGAATCGGGTTGATGACTTGATTAAAGAAGATCGGCGGATTACTCAAATGGAAAATTACTGACAAATTTGGGGACCTTTTCCTGAACTTTTTCATGAACCACGCCAAGTGGTCCTAGAATTTTAGCCGGAAATTGTCCTAAATATGCAAATGTTACTTTCGCTGCAAAAGTTCACCATCTCCTTTCCCAGTAGACATGAATGAAAGAGACTGTTACATTGAAAAATGAAATAATTAGTGATATTTATGGAAGTCGCTTTTTCACTCTTATAAAGGTTATATGCAGTTGTCCATGAAAAAAACGCGTCATACGCGACGCATATTTCTGCGCCAAGTTTCAACTTCCTCTCGCTCTCCGTTTCGTTGGAACAAAACATATTCAGTGAAATTCCACTTGCAAAAAAATGTTTCGAGTGGTTTTGCGCAAAAGTAAAATGTTTCCTGAAATCATTACTTGGAGAACTACTGACCCACCAAGTTTCAGCCTTATACGTTTGCCGATTTTACTGGTGCAAAAATATAATTGGACTAGGCAACCCGTGGAAGACTTCCATTAACTTCCTTTTCGCAAAAATTCCCGAGTTCGTTCGGCGGCCCTAAAACTCATCGCTATAGGCAGCAGCAACGCTCTCCCGTTCTCCAGAATGACCTGTGGAAGCCTTCCATGAACTTTAGGTAAGCCTAGGCCAGGGGTGTTAAACTGCAGGCCCTCGAGTCAATTTTGTCCGGCCTGCAAAGTCCTCTTCAACAGTTTGTTTTGGACAAGTTTATACTTTTTAAACCTGTTAGAAATTGAAGCTTTGGTGAAAGATTTCCTAATTTGGATCCAACCACTTCTAAAGGGTTTCACATGGCCGCTAGCTCAATCAAGTTTGACATCTCTGGTCTAGGCTAAGCGTGTAACAGTCAGTTCCGCCGTAAGGAATTATTAGGCCTGTGGCAATTTTCACGTCAAGGCCCCCCTTCCACTCTTCCCCCACCCTGCTTTAAACACACTGTCAACTCTTCATTGCTAATGAACGCTACGTTACTGAAAAATAGTACATGTGTCATCTCTCATAGGGCCCTGGGTAAATTGCCCCTTTTGCCCCCTCCCCATCTCTACGGTCCTGAACATAGTCGGAAATCCACGAGTTTAGTCAGCGGCCCCTTGACCACTACGCCGCAGCCGCTCTCTCTCCCGTTCTTGAGGACGGATTCGACAATAGCGAAAGCTCGAAAGAAACTGCAAGATTGAGAGCGAGACGGAGACCCCAACCTTGGAAGACATCCACGAACTCCGGGTCGAGCAAGGCTAAGCGTTTAGCATTTTCGGGCATTCGCGATTTCAGTCAGCGGCCCCATCAACCCTTCAAGGAGCAGCCGCTCGGACATTGTACGTATTGCGCATCCACCCCTTTACCCACGGGGGTGTTCACGACTACGATACATACTTCCACTGAGCAGCACTATTATCCCGTATCGATCGCGACCCTGTGCGTATCGTCCATAAAGTTCATCTCTACCACTTTTCATGTAGGCCAATGAGTGGAAAATACGCTTGGGTAACGGGATGAATACTACGCTGCCGACCACGTCTTTCCTATCCTAGGGTAAGCGCTCCTGTTCGATCCCATCCGGATGGAATCCCACCGCTTTCACCCTCGGGAGTCACTCTCCTTTTAAGAGAGACGATTGATATGAGGACGGGGTTCTGATCGATAAAGGGGTCGAGATCCCGATAATAATGGAGGCAGAGATCTCACCCCGGCGAGGAAGTCATCCTTCCTCCAGCGGGATGAAAGGGAAATCCGTGTGTTAAGAGCGGGACGTTACACGTCCCCGTGGGAAAGCCGGCATCGAGGCGTGAACCGCCATTAGAAGGAGGGGGGGGGTGAGCAAAACATACAATTCCCCGCTCTCCCATTCTCGGCAGCGGCTGGAATTCGACTCCGCCACCAACACTCGACCATAGAGGACTGGAAAACTATAATTTGGTCATATAAGACCAAAATCAAGCTCATGAGGTCGGATAGGCATGAATGGAAATGAAATCAGCCTGGCGAAGACCATAAGAGAGTGACACGTGAAGGGGACCGACAAGTATGGTGGAGGTAGCCTGACGTTTTGGGGCTCCATGACGGCCAACGTAGAAGGATATAGCTGTTAAATAGAATATACAGGGCGTTTCATTTAAATTGTACATCTTTGAACGCTCATATCTCAGAGAGGACGCAACCATTCTTTACGAAATTTGACCACAATATAGAGCAACCTTTGCCAAATTATTGGACAGAGTTGCTTAATCGCAGCGCCATCTATTGAGTTGAAACTACGATTCTGACAAAACCTCTGAAACCAAGATCTTATCAACTTGATGAACTCTTTTAAAGCTAATCATTCGTTAGATAATGCCTTGATCCAGTGGTGCTGAAAATTTCATGATTGTATCTCATCTCCTTACTAAGATACCAATCGTCAAACCTTAGCCACTTAACCCATCCGCTTACACTCAATACTCTCAATGCCATGGATTTTTCCGATGTTTTGGCCTGAGCCCCTGTTACCATCACCCTGACGCATGAGGCCTACGGCGCAAGGCTATAACTTTTTTGGCCAGAATGCACAAGGTCGTCGAAATGAAGGTTAGGTAAACAGATGGGTCAAAGCATTTTGCAATCTGGGATAATGTTAGCGTGACTTTGCCACCAAGTCAGCGAGATACCATGGCTAGTCACTACACCAAAGAGGAAAAAATCGAAATTTTGGAGCAATATCTCTTGAANCCAAAAAAGTTATAGCCTTGCGCCGTAGGCCTCATGCGTCAGGGCGATGGTAACAGGGGCTCAGGCCAAAACATCGGAAAAATCCATGGCATTGAGAGCGTTAAGTGTAAGCGGATGGGTTAAGTGGCTAAGGTTTGACGATTGGTATCTTAGTAAGGAGATGAGATACAATCATGAAATGTTCAGCACCACTGGATCAAGGCATTTTCTAACGAATGATTAGCTTTAAAAGATTTCATCAAGTTGATAAGATCTTGGTTTCAGAAGTTTTGTCAGAATCGGTGTTTCAACTCAATAGATGGCGCTGCGATTAAGCAACTCTGTCCAATAATTTGGCAAAGGTTGCTCTATATTGTGGTCAAATTTCGTAAAGAACGGGTGCGTCCTCTCAGAGATATGAGCGTTCAAAGATGTACAATTTAAATGAAACGCCCTGTAGAATGGATGTCAAGCTTTATACAAGCATCATCGAGGACGAATTACTCTCCGCTATGGAGTATTACCGGCTCGAAGTGAGAGAGGCGATGCTTCAGCAGGATAATGATGAGCGGCACTCCTCGCGGCTGGCTCGCCAATGAATCCAGGAGCACGAAATCGAGGTTCTAAAATGATCAACACCGTCGCCGGACCTCAACCCAATATGACACTCGTGGCTACACTTGAAGCGGAGGCTGGCGGATTACAAAAGGAGCCAGCATCCAGGAGATTTAGCTGCGTGTCAATACCGGGTGGGGCGGCGTTCCAGTTCAAACATGCTTTGACTTGATCGAGAGCATGGCAAGAAGTGTCCAGTGTTGAAAGCCAATGGAAAATGGACAAAAGGATAATAACATTGTTTTTCTGTATGCTTGAGCATGTGGGACAAAACTATGTCAATGGCCAAGGTGGATTTGAACAGCTGTAGCTTAAGAAATAGAAGGCCAATTCATACGTGACTAGTGCAAATCGAAAGCCAGGACGTTGGAGCATCTGTTGTAGGAGCAACTGTGTCATACATTAACACAGTTTTGTCCCTCATTGTAATGTATCAAGTTTCCCTTTTCTATCTCTGCCAAATTCGGTAGGACAAGAAATTAGTTGAAAATGGCAACCGCCAAAACTTGCTCCCAGGACACGCACCTGAAACTTCACAGTTTTCCTGAACTAGGTTCATCAATAGGCACGTCCTTGCCAAGTTTCCGCTTTCCATGTCTCTCCGTTTGACTGAAGCAAATATTTAAGTTTAAAAACATCTTTCCCTAAAATGGATGCCCCCAGGGCGTGTACCTCCAAAGTTGGATTTTCTTCTGTGCTCTGCATCCCGACATGTACTTCTTTACCTAGTTTCAGATTTCTAACTCCTCCCGAACATGGTTAGAATGAGCGTCAGTCACTCACTTATTCACGATCATCTATATACCTAATCAATATATAGATAAATTAAATATTATATGTCTAGGCTCGAAGGCCCTGCCATTAAAACTCAACGCTTACTTGATAGAGCTCACCTGAACAGTTTCTCGAGTTCCACAGTTAAGAACTCCACTAATGCACCCACATTCTGGACATGCTTATGAAGAAATACGAACTTATTGCCAATTGCACTACTATGTAAACATCTCAATAATCCGTTTCTCTCACTTAATCGTGTTCAATCATCAATCGTCAATTCTTTCCCCTCATGCACTGCATGGTTAGCCTTACGTTGATAACCTTACCACGCTACAGGTGGAATAACAGATGCTGTACAAGCACAACTATGTTCAGCTTTGCATAAAATATCACTTCGCCTTTTGTTGCATTTTTGTCATGTTGCTTCCTATGGTGCTGCCACCCAAATCGAATGAAAGGTAGAGAGTTAGGGCAAATGACTACCAACTTCCACTTATCTACATCTACTACTTTTCTGGTAAGAAAATTTTACTTTTCCATGAACGAATTTGAGTTTTCGTATATTTGTTGCTCTCTTTCTTTCCCTCATGTGCTACATGCACATGGCGAATATCCCCGACATCCCCATGCGCTTAACCTTACGTTTGTAACCTTACCACGCTAAAGTTTAAATGACAGACCTTAACTTTGGTTTTGTTGAACTCCATCTCTCTCTCTTGGCGGATGAACTCCTCCCTTTTGAGTTCCTCCTCAAATGCATGCCTTTGAGTCTCCTGTTGTGCCTTCAGCTCCGTAAACTGCATTGCACTCTCCTCCTTTTCCTTAGCCAGAGTCTTTGATTGGTTCTCGCTCTGAATCTTCATATCTTCAGCCTGCAATACCTTGCCATCCCGTCATCTCAAATAAGTATCAATGGGAAATTTAATGGGATAGAAAAGGAACCTGAGTCTTGGCGTCTTTGAACTCTGCTTCCCTCTTTTGATGCATTGACTGCTCCCTTTGAAGTAGCTTCTCAAGTCTTTTACTCATGTCCTCGCTCTTTGCTCTCAGTCCTTCCTCTTCAGTCAAAGTCTTCGACATGTTCAGGAGCCGTTCTTTCAGCGCCTTTATCTAGTTCCCCCAGCAAGATAGCACCCAGGAATGGGTTCTTAGCGGACATTCACTCCACACGACTCAGATGTATTCACGAAGCTCCAGCGTTCGTTTAATTTATACATTAGCATTAGAATACCATCGATTTCGAATTTACACGAATAATGTAACATTGAAGAAACACTGTTCGCATATATATAACTAAGTCTGCAGGGCCTTCTATCTGCAACTTTCAAGTAAGGCAGCCACTATTTCAAACATGAACAGTCCATTAGGTCACATCAACTCAAATATTCACTTTTTCGATCCACTAAAACTCATCTGAAGAACAGGTTTCTTGAATATTCCCTCAATCTATCTTTTCAATTCATTTTCAGATCATGAGATACTTCCTGGACGTCTCAAATTATTTTGTGATTTGCTTTGCATTCATTTTCCACAAGGCTATGAGTTAACCCCGGGAACTTGAGAGAGTGATTTAAATATTTGATTCTAACTGTTGAAGTTGAGATTTTCTTATGAAGATGTGATGGTTACGATAGGGTAACTCACCTCCTCGTCCTTTTTCTTGCCGACATTTCGCAGTTCCTTCAGTATCTAAGTAGGAAGAGAAAGGATGCATGAAGAATAAAATGAGAGGTAACTAAGTAATCGCTGTGTCTATGGAGGAATTGTGATTTTTGGGTGGATATTGCTAAAATGAAAGTTTCTTAAGGGAGCCGTAAATAAATCCAAAGGGAGAGAGGGAGAGAGCAAAAGATGTTGACGATTATCTATTTCGATCTGAGATACTTGAAGGAATAAACTAGGCGCGGTACATGTATGGCATCATCTGAGTTCTCTTCCACAATTCATGGAAGTTTTCCATAGAATAAGGTATTCCTTTTTGTATGTTGGAAACGAAAGGAACGAAAGAGTGGGCTCTGCAGGGCAGTTTTGCATACAAGAGGTCATCGCTAGGGAAGGGTAAAATTCGGCGCTGGCAGTTATGAATGCTCCATAAGCTAATCAATGGGACCCTAAATGATTGGCTTTTTAATGGCTAGGAAAATAAGTAGGGTTTTAAATCTTGAGCAGTAATTCAATGCCACAGCAAACCCGCTCATTGTTCACTCATAAAGTCATGGAGTATGTGGGAACCTTGTTACTGCAGAAAAGTATGACTTTGGAATGAAATTTGAAAGCAGGTTCTGATTAAAATTAAAAATTTCTTTTCAAGTTGGATTTGGAATCGAATTCGGATACGCAGCTCCAAAATTGATTAGGTACACGAGGTCTGTTAAAAAATATCGAGACTAATGCTATAGGAAGCAAAATATTTTAATATCCAGGGTTTTGGCATAATCTCCTTCGATTAGATTCATTAGGAAAGGATGGACATTGGTTTCATCAGTGAGAATGCCTGCCACCTGTGTTACAATTTTGAAGAGTGTTAACACTAGGAGGGCCGGACCCACCCGCATACCTAAAAGGGCCGTGAGCGGTCATTTTGACCGCTACCGTTAAATAACCGTCTGGCGTGCTTCTGAGAGGCGGATATCGGCTGACGATCGACTGACGGATATTGACATTGCTAGTTTCTTTTTTAATTTGGAACCAATAGAAAAAGATTACATTAGACAATACAAAATACAAAATATTTGCGTGATTTTTTTGGAAGTGAAAAGTACAAGCCTAACGTTCAAAATTTTGGCCAGCAGTCAGTGCTAGTGATTATCTTATCCGAACATTTGCCACAAACGGCCTTTTTGCAAGCAGAACATATGTAAAATGTTTTGCTCCTTTTGCATTAGGAGAGTACTTGACATTGGCGTCGCTTGCGGTCGCCCTTGGGTCTGAGGATCATTTTTAGATTATGTGAAGCGTTGGGGCCTTTTATTCATGTACTCTGCCCTTGGCTCTTCTACTAGTTGGAGAATGAACTTGTTTCGAGAGATCCTCTTTCCAGTAACCTCTTTGTAGATGACCCTGGCATTGATTGCTGCCAGGTCAAGCACATTGTAAAAAATGTGTACTGGCCACCTGCGAGGTGCAGCCCTCACAGAGTATTTGGTCCACTATGTCCGTGCCAAATTTGGTGGCGTTGTAGAACTCTATGGTATTGGGAAGCTTCCTGCCTTCGCGTATTTGCACACTCGGGTGCAATGTGCTCAGCACCAGAACATTCTTATTCTTCTTTCCTTGATATACAGTTAGCCTAGTATCGTTTGCATTCTTAAGTATAGTGGTCTCTCGTAAAGATGTGCCGGTCATGTCTTCATGGTCTCCGGGATTTCCCTCCTCGCACAATTCATTATTCCAGCAATGCTTGCTTGTTGCTCTTTCAACCTCCAAGCCGGCTTCAGTGACGTGAAGATAGCTATCTGTGGTGATGTTGCGCTCTTTCTTGATATAAGGACCCACGAGCTGCAATATAACATTTTCAGGTAATGATTCGTTGGCAGGACGCAGGTCATCATTCCCAAGGTAAGGGAATCCCTTGCACGCGTACTTCGAATCAACATCAGCCAAAAGCCCGAATTTCATACCAAATTTATATGGCTTGTTGGCCATGTGTTGCATGAACCTGCACCGAGCTTTGCTGTGGAAGAGTTGTTCATATCCAGTAACATTCTCTCCAGGCCTGTAGACGCATAACAATTCTCAATGAATTTGTTCCACACTGCAGATGCCAATGCATCTGCAGTGATGTATCTGTCCGCAACCGTGCAGATCTAGTTGTACGCATGTCAAAACGCAGGTACTTCATTATTTATTTGAACCTGTTTCTTCCCATAGTTTGCACGAAGGATCTTGGATCAAGCTGTAACTCCATCACAGCAAGTAGTTCATGGGATCACACCTTTCCCAAACCCATTTTTTGGACAGGTACAAGTACGGTAAACCAGACCTAGGAATTAATGGGAATGACTTTGACCTCAAGTGCCTACCCAATGAAGGCATTTTCTGAAACCTAGATGACCAATAAGGGAGGTGGTCAGTTTAGGAAACGCCTCCTGGGTCCAAGAGAAAACCAGGAGTTTTCATCCTAGAAGTTGAGTTCCGAGCTGATCGGGGACTCGGCCCTACCTCTTGATCGTGGTCCCCTCCTCAAAATTATACTTTTCTTTTTCATCCCCTGCCAAATTAAAGATTTGAAGTGTCCCTTTTGATCCCGTAGTTTACCTAAAGTCCGATTCAGTGACGAGTGTTGGAGAGAAGGATACGCGAGTTCCTTTCGAGCCTGAGTTGTATTTCCGAGTTAGGTGCTAGAGGCATTGATTGGATAAGGGATTAAGCCTGGGGTAAAACTTCAATTAAGATTCGTAAAGACTCAAAGCACATCATTTGTTTAGTATTCGAGACGGACCGGGTTTTTTCTGTTCATTAAGGTTTCTATAACAATATTCTTTTTTTTTGCTTTGGAACTGTCCTCCAAGGGTGAATATCACATTCCTTTTGTGTTCTCTTTTGTTCATTGAAATTGATTAAATTCTTATAATAAATCTATTAATCAGACTCTGTGTGGTGATACTCCATTCTCGAACTTGAACAGGTACGAATCTCGCTCACCAAAAGGAGTGAAGATTACATTGAAGAAAAATATGAGGAAACATTAGATGAAATCAGCGACGACGGAAGCGAAGACATGGAGATTCACAAAGGTAGTGATTGTGATGTACTTACCGCGACTGGATGCACGTGCCCGAGGAACTCCTGCCCTTTAAATCTTTGTTTCAGATCGGAATTCTGATTGATTTTGGTTACGAATAAACCCGAGGCAGCTTCCGAGGCTCTTGGCCCTTGACTTAGGTACGTATGGCGCCAATGCAATTATGAGATAAAATATGGGAGATAATATATTCGAAACGAAACTTACTACTGGAAGAAGACCACCTTCCGCTTCAGGCCTAATTAGCAGCAGCTTGTCAACCTTCATGCTAATTTCGTCCGTTTTTTCCTGGAAAAGGGTAAAATGTTCTGAAGGAACGATTCTGGAGTTTCTTTATTTGTATGCCCCTCATACCTACAGAAAATGAAGGACCAAAAATGGTCCTTCATTTTGAATGCTAAGAGATTGATTCAGTTGAAGTGGAATTTGCATGGTCAGGATACAGTAAGTCAGATTGGTCCTTTAAATAGCACCGTTTAGCAATTCGTTTTGAGTTTCATGCCTTAGGTATTCAAACGGTTTCTGTACAAGCCACGCGCGAAGATAATTCTCAGAAAATAGGACACAGTGTTGGTTGAGGAACTGGATATAATGCAGCTACTGTGGTCTCTAACATACTGGATGTTCCAAAAGATTCCAACCCATCCACACAAAATATGGATAAATGCTATGCCAGCTACTGTGAAGATATCCTACATGTAGATCTGGACTCTCCGCTCAGGCCTGAAAGGGTTGTGTATATGTTGAACCGATCATACGTTGATGTCATACATCGAAGAGACGGGGATTCAGGTTTAACAATTCACCTAGGAACTACCTCGACCTCAACACTCCAAACACCAATGACAGGTTCTAGCAGTTTTTTCTGCACAATATGTCGAAGAATGAAATGCTTGATTTAATGCATAGTACCCTTTTCACTTTCGTCGAATATAAACTTTTTGGGATGTATGTAACGGAGGTACTGGTCTTCAAGGCAAACCACTTTCACTCACATCGAAGCAGACGACTGGTATGTTCACTTTTTCTGGAAGGAGCCAGACCCTTGTGTTTGGAGGTAGACTACCTTCCCTCATAGCCTTTCCATGTTTCGAGCGACTTAGTACTAAATCTACTCAATTGTAAATGTTATTCGACTTCGCAATTAGACGTTGAATTCGGATTTGTTGCTTTCCTGACCTGGTGCATGCCATAAACTTTTCTCATGGAAGAATTTGCATGAATTATTCTCGTTCATCATCTCGCATAATTTGTTTATTATCATTTCTGCTTCTCGTTAGCTTCTTTGAAAGTACTATACTGTGTACTTCGTTTGCTCGCTTGAATCCATCTGAGACCGTATGTTCCATTTCTGGATAAAAACCTGTAATGATTTCCCGAATGAAGTTGCTATAATATCTTACTAACAAGTTCAGTGGACGATGAATTGGAGAAAGGTCTGATATGGCATAGCCACCTCGAAAGCCAGACTTGACAACATGCCATGATTCACTTTGGAGTTTTGTGAAGGAGAAGATTGACTGCGACTAGCAAATATGGACCTAAAAGCAGCCATCAGGGACTGCTTTTATAGTATTCACCCTTCAATGTCGAAGAAAATGTCTAAGAGATCGTGGACACGGATCAAACGATGTCCTGAGAACGGAGGACAATATGCAGATGTACTGTAATTTTACAGCTAAGGGACTTCGTGCCCACCCTGTATTCGGCATTGCAGCCTGCTGTCGTTTTCACAGCAACATTCCTCTGCCGAATTAGGTGAAGCTTCGTGTATCATGGATACGGTTAATGGTTGCATACAGCTCGTATGATATGCGTTCCCAGTTTTAACAGGCAACTAGCCTAGTTGCCTGCGATGGACACATGCAATCAAACGTATGCTGTAAACACTCATCAACTTGGCCGGATCAAACTAAAATCTCACCTTCAGCACACAGGAATGATCATCATAGTGTGCTTAGAGTGCTTTCAGAACTCATTCAGTACCAGGTAAGGAAATAATTTATACTTTTTTCTGTCAATTCATACTTTCCACTTTTCCTTTCTCTCTTGGGAAACTAGCATAAACAACTTGTGCTGATAAATTCTTCAGGACCTGAAGGTCAACTTCTTAAGCAGTTACATGAGTTTGAAGAATATCTTTATAATTTGGAGAGCTATAATAATATTTTATTATACTCTCTTGTATTTCGAGAATTTTATGTTTGTACATATTCAACTCATTCATAATTGCATCCACGGCAGTCCATGAATTACAATTGAGATTCGTTTATCACTTCTAAGGGAGAAAAATGTGGGACTTTCAGTGTTTCCTGCATATGTCGTTCGATAGAAGAAATTCAAATCCCCTTCTCCAAGAGAATTAATCTGCCATGTAGTCTTTCAACAATTCTTCGTGGGAACTCGCGTGAAATTTGTTGTCTGGCAGATGAGAGATTTGGCTTTCCCGCCCACATCTGAACGGACAAAAATGTAACCTTAAGCCTTCAAGGTGAGTGTCGGTCAAACATCTCCCACTACCATGTAGCCACAAATTTATTGTGCGTGATGGAATTCATTCGTTTCATTTTAATTCACAGTGGTATTTATTTTTCCTTTTAGATTCACATAGGTAGACGACTTTTTCATGGAACACACTATAAGCAGAAATTTAACTCACAAGGATGTGCTGACCCATATTTTTTCCTTCCGAATTCTCCGAAATATCTATCACACACTTCACTTGCTCCGTCCTTTCTTCTTCAGATTTCTTCAAACTATCAATAATGCTCGTCAATCGTTCCACTCCCTCGCCTTCGGATTTCTTCAAACCATCAACTACGCACTGCAATCGTTCCATTATTTCTTCTCCGGATTTCTTGAAGCTATCAAGCACGTTCTTCAGTTGGTCCATCCTTTCTTCTTCGGATTTCTTCAAACACTCAACCATGCTCTTCAATTGGTTCATTCCCTCACCTTCGGATGACTTTAGATTCTCAAGCACGCCCTTCACCTGCAGGAAACTGTCCTTTTCTTCTTCAAGGGCATGGATAATTTTTTCTCCATATACCTGGAAATCTATTAAAGGTAATACAGAATTATAGACGCAAAAATGTCCATATGCCCTTCACCCACCCACCCACATCCATGCCAGCAAAGGCTATTTTCCAGCCGAAATCCCAGTCCGCTTTTTGCCTCAGTGTCCCGTAAGTCACTATTACCATTCAAACGTCAATATTTTTAGCGGCCGATAAATAGGTCACTACTGTTGCCATTGATGGAAGAAACGTTTCTTTAAAAATCTTCACATTAATGACTTGGAATCAGGTTCAACCAGAAATGCTTCAAATATTGAATACATAGGTGTAATTCCAACGTGACTCAAATGTTACAAGTGCTACAAAATGTTACATTTTCAGAAATTAATTCCACCCTGCTTTCTAAGTTTTTTATTTCAGATCGTCACTTAAGACAGCGATTGCAGACATTCAAAACGAATGGGCAATCCAACAGTTGATATCGCCGCAAATAATGCATCCGAGAGCTTCTTATTTGTGCTTTTGATCATCCTGGCTGCAGTGTCATGCAGCATTGCTATTTTGAATTTGAGGAACCCAAAATGGCCATATCTTGACTCTTCAGCGTATATACTGTTTCTTATGCTTTCTTGAAGACGTTATTCGGCAAGAGCTGAAAATCTGGCAGTGTGTGACAAGATGCGCTTTGTCAAAGTCGTTCTATCCTCAAGAACCAATGCAAACTTTTGCGATGTCTTGAAAATGAATGGTTTTCAAAAATTGCCATTGCAACTGTCACAACTCTGTATTTGCTTTCACGGGCGAATGCTATTGGTTCCTCTTAGCTATTCAGGATTCCAATCCATTACGGTAAGACTCGGACCATAAATTGCATCGGTGCAAATCCTTTGAATGTTCAACTTTCGTAACGTAAGTCACAGTGTTGATTATATTTCTCTGCATTGACTTGGTGTGTTAGTGAGTAAAAATTGCAGTAAAGTGCTGCTGAAAGGCAGAAACGAAGGAAGAAAAGATGAAGCATGAAGAGGAATGATGAATGCATGATCAGAACAAGACCAGCCATCGAAGTAGGTCGAACATCGCCCCAGACACTCAAAAATAAGTATTGTGAAAGTAATACCTCGTATGTAATGGCAGCATCAATCCTATACACTCAGCATTTTATTCAACTTAAAAGAATCTGTCATAACTGAAGAATGGCAAATTGGAGGCACATGAAATTTCGACAACTATTGAGAAGCATATAAGGCAATGCACCATTACATTTTGAAGTCAATCTGTTTTAAAATTTGGGCTTAATTGCAAAGTTTCGATTGGCTTACCTATTTTGGCCAACCCTGTAGTTTCCCTACATCGTACTTCCATAATACTTCCCTTCTTGCTTCTGTTTTCTCTCATTCGTTTCGCTCTCTCAGCAGCACTTCATTCCATTATTTTTTCCACATACACAACAAATCAATGTAGAGAAAGGAAACAACCACTGTGTGACTCGTGCCACTCGTGACTCACGTTCCAAAAGCTACCCAGTCAATGGATATTGCACCAATGCAGTTCATGCTCCGAATCCTATTTGTATTAAGTGAACTATTATGTAGCTAGGAGGAGCCAGCAGCATTTGTAAATCTTGAAAGCAAAGACAGAATAATGACAATCAAAATGGCGATTTTCCCTGACTCATGCTACACGTGAATATATATTCATCTTCAAGACGTCGTAGGAGATTCGTTCGCATTATTAACTAAGGATGAGACGACTCCTTTGACAGAGCGCATCATGTGTCACATCCCCTCAGATTTTCACCTCTTGCCTAGGTAGCATCTTCAAGAAATCACCAAAAACAATGTATACTGTGGAGAGTAGAGATATGGCCATATTGACTGCCTTAAATTAAAAATCGTTGCGCTGCATGACATCGCAGCTAAGATGATAAAAACCCAGAATTATGCGTTCTTTAGTATGTATCCTTTTTTGCGACATTCACTGTTTAATCGCCATTTCGTTTTTAAAATATTGTTACGGTTCCGTGCGTTCTCTTCTACCGGTGGTGGGAATCACAACACAATAGGTCAGGGCTGATACAAAGCAGGTTTTTATTGGAAAATGACAGATTGGAAAATGGGAGATCCTGACAGATTACGAAATGGATAAATGGATCGGGGACGCCTACTCCCGAGGGATAAGAAGGTTCAGGAAATCGGGAACGTCTACTCCCGAGGGATAAGAAGGTTCAGGGAATCGGGACGGGAAGGATAAGGACGGCAGGAATGTCTAATCCCGCAGGGACGAGAAGGATAAGGACGGCAGGAATGTCTAATCCCGCAGGGACGAGAAGGATGAGGACGACGGGAGTGTCTAATCCCGTAGGGTAAAGGGAGTTGCTGCTTATCGCCCGTAGACGATCAGCGAAAAGAATATAAGATAAGGGC